GAGGAGCAACGGACAAAATAATTCACTTGTGAGAACACTTCAATCTTTTTCTAACCCAAATTAGAGACATCACTGTCCTACCAAGTTGGTGTTTTTACACCCATTTTATGGAAGGGTAAAATGATGCAGAGAAAGAACACAGAGACTCAACCGCTATCCCAAAATGGATTTAAGCTTGTGTTTGCTTAGTTCATTAATGCAGTTCAAACTCCCTGTCAGGACACCATCTGCCAGAAGTATGAAATGTCCTCATCAGGATGCAGACAGCTCCTGAGTGTTTGGCTACTCAGCAGCCAACCAGCTGTCAGTAGGTGGATGTTCCATTCACCATTACAGGTATTGCACGACATTCTTTTTAAAAGTATTTTATCTGAATAGTTCACTCACTGCTCATAGTAGGTTCTGAAAACAGAGGCCTAAAAGCTAGAAAAAGAGACTCATAATTCACAACACAGACTGTCTTAATTTTGTTCCACTTACAGTCACTTCTCAGGAAAAAATAAATTAATAAAAATTTTCAATCTGTTTGTTGTTTCAGTTCATTTTAGGGTGACACAAGCAGCTTTCAGTTCTTTGCATTCTGCACAAGCCTCCAGAAATATTGAGTGTTTACTAGAGTTTGGTGATGTTAAATCAAATACAACTATCACCCTTTAAGGCCTAAATGATAAAGCGATATCATACCAATAACACATTTTGACAGTGTTGACACCTGCTACAGAGAAGCAGTTTAATGACCTATAGAAAAGGGCATTAAAACTTGCTAGAAATCCTAGAAATAAACCTTTATTTTTGGAAGGTTGTGTTTTCATTCATAGTATCAAGCCTTTTGATGAACTCTGTGGCATATTCTACAGCCTATCTTGTAAAAGACAAATAGCTGTATGAAGAACTTCATTAAACCACCCTTTTTCATCATTTTGACTGTGTGAGTGGAAATGGATATGAATTCATACTAGCTCACTCTGAAACAAGACCAATCCTGAAATGAATGCAGCACCTGGTGACAGCCAAGAAGAGCTTATTAGCTGGGGTTTTTTTAATCACCTAAAAACTTTTACACAATTCAAGCATAGCCAAAACTTTCTAGAAGCTGGAGGAGAAGAAGGGGAGGGGGAGAGGATTTTCTGCTAATTGATTATAAGAGCAGACTCATCAAGTGTTGTAGCATCTGCTGTTGTCAACCCTTCCATTGTGATGTTGGTTTACAAGAAAAAGAAAATGAAAAAAAAAAAAAAAAAAAAAAAAAAAAAAAAAAAAAAGGAAAGGAAGAAAGAACAAGAACATTGCACCTGAGGAATAGAAACACATGTTTTGCCCCAGGTTAAAAAAAAAACAAAACCACCTGTTTCCATATACTTGATTAGCTCTCACTGTTTTATTTAATACTCAGCTTAATAAGTGAGCAACAGCCCCCAACCACCCGCCAATAAAACCTAAATACCATAGATTAGAGGAAATGAGAGACTTGACCAAATCTCAGTGCTTTGCCTCACTCAGGATATTTTCAGGTTTTCATGGTCCCTTCCAAGCAGATGTTTAATGATGCATTTCCACGGGAAGCAACAAGCTGCAGAGCTTGCCCAAGGAGGGGAGTCCGGAGCTGCAGCGACGGATGGGAGCCGAACTGTCAGCAGCACTGCCCGAGGGCTCTGCCGGAGCTGTCCCTCCAGAATGATGGACTGGGGACAGTGCTGGAGCTGTCCCTCCAGAATGATGGACCGGGGACAGTGCTGGAACCACGTACTAGGGACACTGCTGGGGCTGTCCCTCCAGAATGATGGACCGGGGACAGTGCTGGAACCACGTACTAGGGACACTGCTGGGGCTGTCCCTCCAGAACCACGGACTGGGGACACTGCCGGAGCTGTCCCTCCAGAACCACGGACTGGGCACACTGCCGAAGCTGTCCCTCCAGAACCACGGACTGGGGACACTGCCGGAGCTGTAACTGCAGCACCAGAGCTGTCCCTTCAGCACCACAGACTGGGGACACTGATGGTGTTGTCCCTTCAGCACCAGAGCTGTCCCTTCAGCACCACAGACTGGNGAGCTGTCCCTTCAGCACCACAGACTGGGGACACTGATGGTGTTGTCCCTTCAGCACCAGAGCTGTCCCTTCAGCACCACAGACTGGGGACACTGCCGGAGTTCAGAGCTGTCCCTTCAGCCCCACGTCTCAGGGGCAATGGGACACCTGTTCCATGGTCTGGGGACACTGCTGGACCTGTCCCCGGCACTGGAAGGGAAGCGCCAGCCTCTTCCCGGCTACTGATGGGCCATAGCCAACCATAAACACCTTTGATTAAATTAAAGCCACAGTAGTTGAAATCAGCACAGCAAAGAGGTAATCGCTCCAGACATGTTGCTAGCCTGGCAATATCACAGAGTACGATTAAGTTAGACATAAATTAGTCTGCAACCATATGCATATTGCTCGACTTTGTGGTCCGCCGATTCCTATCACTGTTTTGTCTGAAGGGATGTTTTGTGGAGATAGAGGTACCCTTCCAGATTAGGCAAGGTCTTTTGTTCATTCTCTTTTAAAGGTCAGCCTGCAATGATATTTAAGACACACTTTTGCAGGAGTACGTACTGAGTACAGCAGGTTCACCAATGCACACCCCACTGTATGTGCTTCTGGAAGTCCAGAAGGTTTTAGAGGGGGAAAGATGTATATGAGAACATACACAGAGATTTGAAAATAAATTACCAGCATAAAATATTAATATGAACATTTTAGATCACTTTCCTGTACAAGAAACATAGATAAGAACTCTTATTTTTCTAAGAACTTAAATGAAGTCGTTTTTTGAGGGTTTTTTTCGATTCGTGAGACAAATTAGTTTAGGATAAATGCAAAATTAAAGAAAAATCTTCCATGCTGACTTTTACAGACTAGCAGTAGATCAGATAACATCATTAAGCCACTTTAGTACTGAAGAGATGGTACAAAAAATAGAATTTCATTTGGCAAGATGCAGAGAGCAACTATTAATAAACTTTTGAAAGATGGATCAGATATCCTCCCAGAGCACAGCTTCCCAAGTGAACAATTGTTACAGAATGTCTGTAACTTTCTGCACCATTCTTTATTATCAGTCTTCCTCCCAGTGGTTCCCTGTTGCTATACACATTTTTAAATTTAAACAATTCATATATCCCAAAGCACCTCTGCCTACAGAAATGCATTTTATCCTCTGCATGCTTCCTAAAGAAATCCCAGCCCTCTAAAGGAGAAATGCTCCAACTTCCCATGCAGGTTGTACTCGTTTATGGGTACAATACCATCAAAACTGCTGTACAAACAGCCCTTTCTACCTGTCACCAAGAGAGCTTAAGAATGCAGCAAGTATTGCAGGCAGCCCCTAGGCAGGAGTGCAGGGCACCATGAGTACACAGGCATGTGTGTGGAAGACTTGTTGTAACACAGAGGAGCACAACAGAGCAGTGTTCACTTAGCACACACAAGTGGCAAGAGACGGGCTGAGGAAGAGAGACTCAGTGGTCAAAGGAGGAAAGTTCTGACATTGTAACGAACAGCGGGAAATATAAATCATCAGCCAAAGTTGCATTCTACTTTATATTCTATAACCTGTTAATATATGCATTTGTATTAGTATATCTAATAATAGAAAGGCAGAGGAAATTAACCCTTAAACATCTTATCTTTGTAAGGGCTAATAGGCTTTATACTGTCAGATGGTCTTTCAAAGGAAATTTTTTACTGCCCCAGATAGAATATAGCCAAATACAAACATAAGCAGACACTTTTCAAAGGGCAGCGGGCAACATGTTCTGCTGAAAACTCAGTATCTTCTGGTGGCAGTGTGAAAATTTCTTGTAACAATCCCTACATGGCAAAAAGACCAAGTCCTTCTGTATTAATAAGAGAGCTAATTTCATGTCCTGTTATGTATAATGCACTATCAAACAGCCACTGAGTTAGAGGGGTCTTTTCAGACCTCCACAGATATTAGAAGTTCTGGGAGAAAAACATTATTAACTGCCATAGTAAACCCATCTTAAAGAACACAAAACCAGCATGAGTAAACCTGCTCATCCAGCCAAAGCCAGAGTTGTAGCACAGTTCTGTGTGCACTCCACAGCCTCTAATCACCGTGATATTTATTTTTATGGCAGAAAAGCAAACTTTGTGACAAATTCTCGCCTTTAGCTGCGGGAAGCAGGGAAGTACAAAATGACAGCCTGTGGCTGTGTCCACTGACTGCCCCTTAACTGTCCTGGGAAGCAGCACATCTGGGAAGCTGGGCAGCATGGATGTGACAGCGGGCATCATTTTGCCTGTCAGACTATGTGCCCACAAAGGGGAAATGCAGACTGTGACCTGTTGTCACATCAGATGCTCCAGCTGCAATAAAAACTCCAGGAACACATTGTCACTGCCCAGGGTTTAAGCACAGCTGTAGGAACCACCACCACTGCCCTTGCCAACTCCAAAACAAAGTTTGCAAAAGCAGGTCTATCCATGCCTGGCTACATTAAGGGCTTTCCCAGCTGATCCAGTTCCCATGCCCTCATCATTTTGATTCTCCTCCAGCTGCTTTTTTGCCTAAGCTTTTCTTGTGTCTCTTAAGGTGGAAGAAGGAGTGCAACAACAGGGCCTTCTTCCTGAGGGGAACGCCAGGAGTGTCACTCTGCCTCTTCCCTCTTCCTCCCTCTTCCTCTCCATGCAAGCCACAGCACCATGGTAGCCACCTGGCCAGTGCCAATGCCCCTAGCCAAACCAACCCCACTCTTCTCCAGTCACACACGAGAGATGGAGGATCCATCTCCAGGAGAGGTGCAGGACACGATCAAGTCCAACAAGTGCCCAAGAAGAGCATTAAATTACGTAAAACGGGAGGGAAGAAAAAGACTCGTCCAGCACAGACACCTTTGCATGCCACAGCCTCCCTGCCCCTCTGCCTTTTTTCCAGCCCGGGAAGTTTTTGCCCCGGCCCTGGCCTCACAGGGCCTCCCCGAGGGGAGTCACTCACCGATGGTCGTGATGACCGTGATGGCAAAGTAGAAGGAGCCGGCGAATTTCCACTGGACTCCGGCGCGGTGCGGCTCGGACTGCATGATCACCAACTCCAGCTGCCGGTAGTCCTCGCTGGTGATGTTGTACTTTCCTTTGAGCCGGATCTCCTCGGCTTTGAGTTTCTCCTCCTCCCGCATCTCGTTGTCGGACTCCAGGGCATCAAAGACGGCAGCCCCGACCAGCAGGTAGGTGAACGTGCAGATGATGAGGGACAAGGTCCGCACGTTCTGCCTCTTCATGGCCGCCAGCAAGGGGCGAGTGAGGGGACCATGTCCCCCCCTGGCCGCCCGGGGTTCCGACAGGCCGCAGCAGCTACAGCAGGGGAGCAGCTGCCGGGGGGGCCGGCGGCGCCCGCCGCCGCTGCCGCTGCTCCGGGGCAGCTTGTGCTGCGGCGGCGGTCGCTCCCCGCCCGCCTGCTCGGGCTCCTGGGAAGAAGAGAGGCACAGGAGGCTGCTGGAGCGCCGGGACCAGGTGCCCTGAAGGCGGGAAACTCTGCGCAGGACCTGCCCAAACCAAGCCGTCCCAGTGCGCAGGGCCATCCAGGGCACCCCCCGCTCCTCCCCAGCACCGAGGCCAGGGGCAGGGGGTCCCCGCCGAGGGGCCGGCGGCCCCGGCACGGAGTCCTGCGGCGGGCGGGTCCCCCCGCGAAGTTGGCGCGGCGGCGCGGGGAAGGGTCGCCCGCAGCCCGGGCGGGGCGCGGCGGGGAGGCGGAGGCCGCCGCCGTCCCAAGTTTCTTCAGGCGGAGCGGCGGGGCCGGGGGGAGCCGGGCGGCGGCAGCGCGCCCATCCGCGGAGGAGGAGCGGGGCGAAGGGAGGAGGGCTCCCGGGCTCCGGCCGCCGGGGACCCGACCCGCCCCGGCCCCGGCTGCCTGCGGGAGCGCCGGCCGGGAGGGTCGGGACGGGCTGGGCGCTCTATTCCTTCCGCCGCGGTGCGCGGAGGGCGGCGGGGAGCCGGGCAGCTGCTGCCTGTGCTGCTGCTGCCTGTGCTGCTGCTGCTGCTGCAGGTGGCCGCGGCGTGGGCAGCGGAGCGGCGTCCGGCGCGGCGAGGGCGGCGGCGGCGGTGTCAGGCGGCGGGCGCGGGGCCGGGGGCAGCATCCCCGGGCTCGCCGGGCCGCGCCGCCGCTCGGGCGGGAGGCGGGGGCGCCGGGCCGGCGGCGTGGCCCTGGCGGCGGGGAGCCGGCGCTCCGCGAGCGGGAGGAGCGGCGCGGAGCCGCCCCGGCCGGCGGGCGGGGAGGCGGCGGCGGCGGCCGCGGACCGAGCACCTGCCCGGGGCAGCGGCGGGGCGGGACGGCGGCCGGCGCTGGCTCCGGCCGCGGACTGCCGGGAGGAGAGGAGAATCGCCGGCGGCTTCCCCCGGGAGCGCGTGAGGGCAGCTCGGCCCCAGGCGGACACAAAGACGGAGGCGAGAAGAAAAATAAGACCAAAAAAAAAAGAAAAGAAAAAAAAAAAAAAAAAAAAAAAAAAAAAAAAAAAAAAAAAAAAAAAAAAAAAAAAAAAAAAAAAAAAAAAAAGAAAGAAAAGGAGGGAAAAAGGAAAGGGTACTTTCACGGCTGCTACCCCGGCGGTCGGGGCCGGGGCTGCTTTATTTCGGATGGTTTTAGAACAAAGCCGTTAAGAAAAAGAGCAACCGTCCTCCTCCTCCTTCTCCCGGGCTCTTGACATCATCTCGGGGAGAAGCGAGCCCGCGCCCCGCAGCCATCGCCTGCGCGTGTGTGTGCGGGTGTGTGTGTGCGGGTGTGTGTGTGTGTGCGCCCGCGCCCGTGCCCGTGCCCGCTCCGGCGCGGGAGGCGGGATGCGGGAGGCGGGATGCGGAGCCCGCCCCGGCCCACCGCGGGAGCGCCTTAACCCCCTCGGCGCCGCCCCGGCAGGGAGCGGCCGCGGAGCTCCCCCGGTGCGGCTGCGGCTCCCGCCCCGCTTCCCCGGGCTCGGCCACGCCCCGGCCGCCGAGCGGGGCTGGGTGGCGGCGGGGCGGGTTGTGCCGTCCCGGCAGGGACAGCCCGGAGCCGGTCCCACTCTCGAGCCGAGCCGCGCGTAGCGGCCGGGACGGGTTTGTGCCACCTCCGCCGCCCCACGCACAGCTCCACCGCGGCTCCGCGCACCGCCGCCCCTCCACAGACCGCCACGTACAGCCCCGCACGCCTCCGACACACACAGGCAGAGCCCTGCACACCCCGAGCTTCACACACCATCGCCCTGCACATCCCGCGTTGTGCTCCCCCGAACACGCACACACACAGCCCTACACACCCTGAACATCACACACCATGGCCCCTATGCACACAGCTGCACAGCCCTGCACACCCTGAACATCACACACCATGGCCCCTATGCACACAGCTGCACAGCCCTACACACCCTGAACATCACACACCATGGCCCCTATGCACACAGCTGCACAGCCCTACACACCCTGAGTGTCACACCCCACAGTCACACACACGACATTCACTCACCACACCTGAACATCCTGTGCTATTACTCCATGCACACAGAAATCCACACATTACAGTTCCCCTTCGGCACCCCACAGACACACTGACCTCGGCACACCACAGCCACACATACCACAGCCCCACACATCAAAACTCCCTCAAGGTCCCCATCCAAATGTGCCACAGCATCACGCACTCCAAAATCTGCCCACACAACAGCCCTCCACACAGCAAAGCCCCTTCCCCAGCCTCAGCGTATCCCCAAAACACAGGCATGCACTCAGACCCGTGTCACAGGGGTGGAACTGGATGATGTTTAATGTTCCTTCCAACTGAAACCACGACGTGATTCTATGCTCATTGCATACAACCTACATACACACAGCAAAATGTTCCCAACGGTTCAGAGGAGCCAGCCTGGGTTCCATCTCCAGCCCCATGGCTCCTGAGTCACCACCCTGTGGAGGCTGCAATCCCTCAGGTCCTCTAGCCACATCCTGCCTCTCATTCACCAGGTTTCTAGCAGCAGGTGTTGCCACAGGAGCCTGAGGCTGCTTTTATGTCCTTCCTGAGACAAAGCTGACCCTGCTGGCGTTGCCTCACTCATAATTGTAGTCATCCTCCTGCATTAGAATTTTTCAGCCTTAACCAATGAAGGCTGAGCTGGTCCTGATTTCTCTGAGCCTCAGGTTACATTCCCTTGGTTTAGGTCTTTCTCAAATCTTAGGACCACAGGGTTCATTACTGTAATTCATAAAAGCATAAAATCCATAAAAGCAACTTTGTCTGTCTCACTCCTGGCTATACATTGTCTAAAGTCTTTGGATATCCTTCCTGAGATATGAGGGGGTAGTGCCTTGTAGGTGAATCAGGTCAGAAGTCAATCTCCAAGACTGAAGCCCTCTGAAATGTGCACCCCAAGCTGAGTGGATGAAACTGGTCACAGGGCCCTTTGGGAGAGTCCTGGATGCAGGGAGGAGGAAGAATTCATTTCATCAATTCAGCAAACAAGAGTTCACCCAGGGCAAATTCTGAATCACATCACCTGAGAGTTACCAGAATTGTTACAGCACATCATGGAGCAAGGTCTCACCTGCCAAAAGAAGTGTGTACAGATCAGCAACAAAGGGAAGGAGGGGAAAGGTGGAGAAAAGAGGAAATATCTGGTTTCGATCAACTCATTAAATATAGAAGTCTGATTACCTTTGCCCATTTCTGATTCCTCAAGGGAGAGCAGGGGAAGAGGAATCTATAAATAGTTTGCAACACACAGAATCCTATAGCAAAGTTGCTGGGAAGGATCAATAGCATGATTCAAGGAGGGCTCCAAATTACATCTCAGGGGAGGGAGGTGCTGAACAGAATTGATAAATGAGTTGCAAATGCTGTGTGTTTGTGTGTATCTAATTAACAGAGGGTGACTGGGATCAATAGCAAGGAAGGAGATGGTCTAAAAATAGGACTCAGGCAGGGACTGCAACCTGCAGGCAGCAGCTTGGATGGAAATGTCCCCTGGAGTAATTAACCTTTAGCTGAAAGTGATGGTTAACATGAGGCCAAAGTGGGGCCTGTGGCAGCTGGGAAGGGATGAGGGCTCCATGGGACTTAGGGCACAGAGCAGTGTGACATTGTGGGGGTACAGGCACAGCCAGGAGCTCAGAGCCTTCCTTTGGTCAGGTGACAGTGACAAGATGCTGACTGGTGTCGTGCTTTCCGGAGAAATATTTGAATATTGACATTTTACTGGGGTTTTGGAACAGAAAATGCATGCTGTTCTGTGTACTCATGAATGTTTCAACGTTGCTTAGAGAAAAGTAATAGTCATTTTTTTGAACATCTATTTACTTCCATAAGAATCTGCAATTTTCTTCTTTTTTGCTGATCCTGTTATCAAGGAAGTACCCACCATTCTGAGGGCCAGTCTTTCCTCATCCAGACTCAACACCATATACATATTTGAGCCACAGAGAAAATAGCTTGCAAAGGGGAATGGCCTTCAATCCTTCCATCTACAATAGAGCTGTCAGGCAAACTCCAAGAGAGAAGGATTGATGTTGGGCAGGATGGTCTATGGCTCAGCTTACAGACTCTGCTGAAGTGGCAGATTTCAGCCAAATGAGAGGCAAAGACACACCCAGGAACAGAAAGTTCATTTGCAGATTGAGTGCAGGATTTGGACCTGGGATGTACATTATGGCCAAAAGAAACTGAAACTGTAAAGAACCTAGAAAATACCTCTGGCAGGAAAAGATCTGAGGGGTAGGTGGTGAGTGAAGAGCTTTTCTTTTATACAGACAGAAGTGACTAAAAATTTCTGGACAATAGTTTTCTCCATAAGATTTGAAAATTTTAAAAAACGTCTTTTATTCTACTGTAGATGGAGCTACCAAAGGAGTAAACTATGTTTAGCCACCAAAAGGAAAGTTAACTCAGAGGGACAACACATAACTTAGCTCCTCTTGACTTAAGTCTAATTTGTGGGAGAGAACACAGATTGGAAGACAGCTCTGAGATGTGCAGTGGATGGCCTGGCTGCTGACAGCTCTGCTATCCCAAAGTTGCACCTACTGTCTCCACAAAAAGCCAAGTGAAATTTTAAATTTCCCACGTTTTAGGTAAGAGGATATGGGTGCTGTTGTGTCACAGCCTCTCTCCTGTTTTACCTTGAGTTCACTCTGCAAAAAAGGCAAGAGCCAGCCTCAAGGCTCTTGGATTGGGAGTTGCTCTCCTGTCCATCCTTTGGACCTGACAGAGGTTCTCCTTGAGAGAAATCTAATGTCTCTGTGCAAGAACAGGCTGCCAATCCATGAAGCATCTTCCAGATGAATCACAGGAGTCACAACAAACCAGAAAAAGAAAAAAGCCCCCAAAACAAGAAAAATAACTGAAAAATATGATCAGTACTAGAAAAAATACCTAACCTTTTATTTTTCAACACAGGTTATTAAGAA